TTTATTAAGTATTATTCCTCTTTCATGTACATGGTTTTGGCTCTCTGGAAAAATGTAGAACTTATTGAGGATAAGCACACTATTTTTTGCTGACAGCACATCCCCATGGGAACTACCAAAGCACAGACATGAGAGAGATTTGGATGAAAACTATTCCTCGCTTGCTAAGCAATATGAAGAAATAGGAATTGGGATTCAGGAATTTGAGACTGAAAGGATATAAAGGGGTTAGGTATTAGGACCCTGGCTTTGAGGTACTTCTCACTTCAGCAGGAGACACATATACAAGCAGGCTCACAAAAATGAAGCATGTGTGTATACAGCAGACGGCTAGAAGCATAGCTGATTTCTGCTCTAAGTTGAGCCCCTGCAATGACTGGAGCAACGCCCTCCATGGTAGCCACATCCAGCTCTGCATAGGAACCAACATTCAATGGTGTGGTCTCGTCAGGAAAGTTGGTCAGAGGAGAAATAGCCATATTCACCCACAAAGGATGTTACCTCTTGTTCGTTCGGTCTTTGGTAAGACATTTTTACGGCCTAGACAGTGAAGTGCAGAAGAGTGAACTTAAGCACCGGTGGGCATTTGCTGTCTTGACTCTTGGGCTTGACCTCTCTGTCCTGTGTATCAGAGATTATTCTGTGAGGTGTCAGGTGACCAGAGGGTCCAGGGCCCTTGCTTCCTAGACTTCATATTGAGAAGATTGCATAAAGAGTAAAATGTGGGTAAAACCACAGGAAAGAATATTGATAACAGTTGGCTTTAAGGAGTGAAACTGAGTGACTGGAAAACAGAAATTGGCAGAGGGAGGTATGTCCAAAGCCCTCCTTTTGAATCTTAAATCACATGAATGTTTCACCAGCTCAAAAAAGAAAAAAATGAAACAAAATGAAGAAAACCTTGTTAATGTTGCCAGGGTCTTTCTGGCTGTGGAACTGGAAAGCTGATAAGCTATCACCGTAATTATTTGTCTTCCTGAAACTCAGACAGTAGAGGGTTTTAACACTATAAAATACAATCAAGCCTCCATTTCCAAGATAAATTTTAATTTTGTCCCTGGGAAGTTTGCTACTGAAATACTAGCATATAGTGACAAATGCTTTGTGCTTATATAGCATTTGAAACTTTCCTCTTTCTTTGCATCAGCTTACCATTGTTTACCATTCAATAGAAGCAATAATGTTGCTCACAATGCTACTAGACAAGGTAGTAGCAATCCTTCATTTTATTGTAACAGTTGCACTTTT